TATTAAAGCTAAAATACAAAATTGAAATCACTTGCAATTATCACTCTTTTCTCCCTGGATTGTATACTTTATACCTATATAGTCTGTATACTGAACTGGATTATATGAAGACAAATGGGGCATCAGGATCAGAGGAAGACTCATCAACAACCTGCATTATGCAAATGACAAATCTTTGCTTGCAAAAAGTGGAGCGGACTTGAAATACATGCTGTAGAAGATTAAAGACTTCAGAAGATTAGATTAAATGCCTTCAGTATGTATTACATTTCAACATTAAATAAACAAATATCCTCAACCACTAGGCCAACAGACAACATCATGATAGATGGGAAAGACTGAAATTATTAAAGATTTAATCTTGCTTGGATCCACAATCAAAACTCTTGGTACCAGCAATTGGAGATCAGGAGATGTATTTCTGTAGGCAAGCACGCTCAGTGTCAGAGACTTGTCCAAATTACTGAGGAATAATGATGTCAATTTGAAGACTAAGATACACCTGATTCAAGCCATGGTCTTTTCAATCACTAGCAATGCATCTGAGAGCTGGACAATGAATAAAGAAGATAGAAGTATTGATTTCTTTGAGTTGTGGTGTTGGTGAAGAGTACTAAATATCCTATGGACTGCCAAAAGAACAAGCAACTGTATATTGGAAGGAAGTATAGTCAGGATGCTCCTTTGAGGCAGGATGGTGAAACCTTGTCTCATACACTTTTGGCATGCTGTCAGGAGGGATCAATTCTTGCAAAGATCAGGAGGGATCAATTCTTGCAAAGAGACATCTTGCTGGCGAAAGTCAGAGAAAGAGAGGAAGACCCTTAACAAGATGGATAGTGCTAGTGACTTTAACAATTATCTCCAGCATGAAGGTATTAAGGATGGCACAGAATAGGGCAAAGTTCAGGTCTGTTGTCCATATGGTGGACTATAAACTGTAGCTGACAATCAACTGTAGTCTATTTGATGGCACCTAACAACATTCAATGAAACTCTCACATTTCTCCCATCTTGGTTTGCAGATCTCAAAGAGACTCATTCAAGAAATAATTCATTTCATTAATTTCATTTAGATTCCTTGCAATCTGCACTATGCCCACCTTTCCTTTCCTTCCCTTTCTTCAAATTTTAGTCTCTTCTTTGAATTGTCTCATTAGAAAGAAAAGACTGGAAGGAGGGAAGGAAATTGCAAAATAGACACGGGTTTTATGGAAGAGTATAATTTATAACGCTAATCTCTGGTAACGCTAATCTTCGAGGACAGAGGCGATTTTTTTTTCCAGCAGAGTTTAATAACTATTAGAGTTCCAAGGAGTGTTGTTTCAGTTTTTTCCCCGCTACCCCTCTTTTCCTTTGGAAAAACTGGAAAACGAAAAAATTTTCCCATGGAAACTCCTCAAGATCCATGCCTGAATGCTTCACCTTGGCCTGTGCGGTAGCCCCCACTGTAAATTGGTTAAGCCTCCAAGCCCAAATCCCGCTGGGTTTCTACATGTCCTGCGCGCATGCGCGAACTCTCCTTTTGCCCCCTCCTCTTTCCCCCTCCCCCGCCCCCGCCGCGAGGGTAACTTGACGTAATGCAATTTCAGCATATCAGCCGCAATATAAAGCAGGGCAAAGAGGCGCGCCTTTCAGGAGCTGGGTAGTTTGTGATTGGTTCCGGGTGTGAGACCTAAAAACCCAATGTGAGGGTCTTACAGATCAGAGCTGCAGCCCCCCGCCGAAATCCGACGGAGCTTAGTCAGAGTCCAGCTGGTGACTGGTGAACGCGGGCAGGTAAGGAGACTCCCGAAGAGTAAGTGGTGGGATATAGATCCGTTTTCCACTGGGTGCCTTTCGTATGAGAAGAGAGGCTTGCACCAAACATGTACAATAGGGCTTGGGGAACAATGGTAGTATCTAGTCGAAAGCCTTTCTTCCCCCTAAGGCAGACAGTTTTACTTACTCCTCAGCCGCTACCATTGGCTGGAGAAATTGAGGATAGTGTTTGTCTTTCAGGTTACCGCTACTTATTCTAGCCTAGAACATTTGAGAACAAGAACCTTAGTTTAGGCCTTCTGTAGTTTAGGGTGACGGGAAAATGGCGGAAAACCGTGCCGCGTCCCCCTGGCATTCCTCTTCAGAGACCCCTTTCCTCCGCGCCCGCCGCGTATTTCTCCCACTGTCTTCCCCTCTTTACCTAGAGCCTTCTAATGGTAATCTTTCGAATGCGTGAAGGATGGCGGCATTTTGTGAGATGGTGCCAACAAATTGGGCATTTTAGGAGGAATAGGGGAGCCATTAGATTCCTGAGGGAGCTGCTTTCAGTAATTGTTGCTTCCACCAAGACACCTCCATTTTGATTTTCAACAGTCTCCCTCATAGCCGGTCAGAAGGAGAAGGAGGATGAAGGCTTGGGTAGCACCATATGGGTAGCAGTGGTGTCGACCGCTGCGCCACTAAGAGGAGGGAGGGAGAGGACAGGAAGAGAGAGTATTTTTTTTGTTTGTTAAGGTCTCTTTTCCACCCCTGTTCTGTTTAAGTTCTAGTCAGATGAGTAATATTTAAGACACGTGGAAGCATTCTGTTTGAAATGGTTGCAGTTTGGCTTGGTGGTGGGAAAGGAAGATTTATGTAGGAAGAGGGCTGCATCTGGAGCTGCAATACTGCTACTTGCCAGGACTCCTTTGTCTCCTATCTCTGCAAATACAATTTTAGCCTTTTTTTGCTCTGCAGTTTTTGGGTTTATTACCTCACACTCCATTTACATCACTGGGAATCTAGTTCCTGATGAACTGTGATTAGAGGAGATATATGAGGTTAAAATTTTACTTTTTCATTTCTGATAACCTTTCAACATGCAAAGATTAATTGAATCATACTTGGTTGATTGCTTTCTCTATTCAGTAAGGATATACTCTGGAAAAGACAAGCTATTGGTTATTGAATCTGTAACACATTTCATACCTCATTTCTTATTCTTATTATTAAGCTTACTGAGACAACTTGTATGGGGAAAAGTTGCTTCAGTTTCTTTATCTGGTATTCATGTGATACTTCTTGCACACCATCTTTTAATACTGCACTTAATAGAGCAGTGAGTAGCTTTATTTCTAATCATTTGTCAAGGACAAATCTTGCTGTTGGTTTGCTTTCTCTTTTCAAAATAAGATCTTGCTGATGATGTATGTTTAAAAATAAACTTTAGAGAATGTTTTTTTATTTAATAAAGTAAATGAAATTCTAATGTTTTTATTAGCGTAGGTAAGTTTCTGTTGGAATACTCTTCTGGTTGATTTGTAGACTTTGTAGACTCAGACTTGAGTCTATGAACCCTTCCCAATTTAAATCTACAAGTTAAAGTATAAGGGAAACCTCAAATTGTGTAGATTTGATTTAAAATGCCAAGCATCTAATTTTGAGTGTATTTTACAATAGGTTAACACAACATTTTTCCCAAAGAAAATAACTCAGTTAAGAAGAAAAAAAATAACAAAAAGAGATTGTTGCAGATTTTATTACAATATGAAAAGAAATAGAAAATTTCTTGGAAACACTTAAATTAAGGTGATTAACAAATTTTTAATGCTTAAATTACTTAAATAAAATTTAGTTTTTAAAGGTATTCTAAAGGCATTTGTAATTGTTAGTTATATGATAAAGGGAGAAATTACTCTAAAGTCAAAGGAGGATATTTTGAATGTTAAGATTATGATTTTTTCATGTATCTATGTGAATACACAGGTTGTTTACTGTGAATTCTTTTGGCCTAATTTTGCATAATAACAAGGCAGAAAACAACTTTCTTGTAATTGAAAAACAAAATTTAGCTAAGATTTGGTAAGACATTGTTAATTTTACTCACATGTAGATAATTTTATCTCAAACATTTAATATATAGAAATGTCATATTTTGCTGTACTGTATTTGCATATACATGTTGATAGGGGATACCCAGTGAGACTTCTGCATTCTCTGTGTTTTTAGAACTTTTTTTCAGGCAAGATGAAACCCTCTGGTATTTAGAAACTCTTAAGAGTAGATTTTATGTTGTAGCTCTCTTTAAAACTTATTTAAGAGGTACAGTATAACTTTTGTACAATATAACTAAATTTATTAAACACTCTTTACTGAAGTTTGATCATGTTTTTGGTTGATTCACTTAGAATTTTGTATTTGAAGGGGAAACACACATATATATTTGCAAGATGTATATTGAATAACAACATCTGACTATGTGTTATAATATCAGATGATCATAAATCTTAGTTATTTGGAATGAAATAGGTTGAGCCTATGTTTGCAAATAAGCATGAGGCTAGCATGACTTTACTGATCATTGAAATTAAATCAGTTGTACTGCTATAATTTGTTAATGTGTATATGTGATTAATTTTATCTTTACTGTATTTAGGAAGCAGCCCTGTTTCATGAGTCTTCAAAACTGTGAGACAAGAGAATATAGTAGCCAGAAGTCCTTACTGGTTCAAAGAACTCCAGGAAAATTGGGATAGAACATTTTACATTATAAGTAGAACCCCAGAAGCCAGAGGTGAACACAAATTTATCAGCAGAACTCTGTTGCAGGGCTGATCTGGGTCTGGAAGAAATGGATAAGAGCCACTGGATGGAATTCACTGATACTAAACATCTGAATTCTCTAGTAATGTATAATTAGCCAAACTACTATCGTCATCCTGTTCTCTCTTTTGTTTATAACTTATCTTTTAATTAGAACCTTAGTGCTAGTTTTGTTCTTTTGCTTGCTTGCCTCTATCACTTACCTATGCCTCTTCAGCTTTACTATGACTTATTCTTTATCACCTTTGGTTTACTTCCACCTGGCCTTTATTTCTGTTGTCACGTAAAGCATTAGGATTGTTTGTTTTGTTTTCCTGTGTAATGAGATTTGTGCACATGATTATGAAACATATTTTAAATTCTATATTTTTTTTTCTCAAAACAACTGACTTTGGTCTAAATGTGTATTTAAACTATTTTTTTTTTCATTTACACAGATCTGTGAATGAACTTTACTAAGTATGGATCCAGGTGGTGGAAGTCTTGGATTGCACACATCAGAATCTAGAATGGCCCATACCATGATTATGCAGGATTTTGGTAAAGTACTTTTTTGGCAGTATTTTTTTTTTTTAAGTCAGAATGTACTAAAAATCAAAGCTGAATTGAGGAAGGGAGAATACATATAATGAGGATTGTTCTTTTGCTTAGAAATATATTTATAGAACTTTTTCTATAAAAAACTTATGTATCAGTCTACTTAAAATCAATCTTCTACCTTGAATATAGTGAAAACATATGACTAGAAATTAAAAACTCAGTTTGCACAGTTCTGTCACATTTTTATACCAATTCTTACAAATAGAAAATGTTAAATTGCCTTTTAAAAATGCATTTTAACTTAATATGAAAAAAATAATGCCAAGGATCTAATTTGTTATATGGTTACATGTTGAAATATTTTTAACATGAGTCGGATAGCATCTATTATTAAATTTTACTTTTAAAAAGATTAAATGGGAGAGACGTAAAATACTCAACATTACTAGTAAGTCAAGATTAAAAATTAAAATAGCAATAAGATTAACAATAACTTAATTATTTGTTATTAATGACTTAAAAAAGTTCTTCATGCCTAAATGCCTCACATCTTCCTCCCTTGGATCAGCTAGTGGTGATAAGCCACTTACTACAAAAATGTTTTCTAATAAATTGCTACTGTTTGCAGAGTTGCCTTGAAAAAATATTTCACCAAAGGAGTATGTATTAAAATGCTGAAAAGTTAAAAAAAATGCTTTTTAAAAATTTTTATCTTTAAAGAAAGAAAAGAGTTCCTAGTTTTGTGGCCAAGATTTTTAGTAGCTTCTAAGCAGTAGTAATTATAAAGAACATATTAGGACTCCTTTGATAGTCAGCAAATATAATTTGAGCAATGTTGGTCTGAATTATAGAGGAGATAGAGGTATCTTAAGTATAGGAGGCAGAGGTGGGACAATTAGAGTAGGCAGAAAAGTAAATGGGAAATTAGGATAAAAATGAAACAAGAAATAATGTGTTAATGGAGTTGTTTAAGCTATAGTTAGGGTTGGGGAACTGGAACTAGTGATACTTGGCTTGCCTTTTATTAGAATTAAGAATATGCCACTATACTGTTCTAAGATAATATAATTGATTATGTCATTTGGTCCCTCCCTGTTGCATGCCTCATTTTTGTGAGAGTCAAAAGAATCTTAGTGGTAAAAAGCTGCACTGCAGTCCCAAAGGCATGTGGTTTGAAGCCACCAGCTGCTCTTCAGGAAAAGGATGGGCAGTCTCCTGTGTGATTGACTGCTTCTGAAAATACACTGGAGGTATCAGTTGTGGGTTGTTTCTGGTATAGTGGCACAACATAACAATAGGGTCTTTATGAGTCAAAATTGACTTGAAGCAGGGGGTTTGGTTTGATTTACATAATATTTATATCCTCTTTAGGATTAGCATTTCTGTCTGAAGAATAAAGATAGGTAGGTCAAGATTGAATTTGATGAGCAGTTAATTGATGAAATAGGAATTTACTGGTGTCATAAGTGTGTTATATTGATAGTTGATAATTTAGAAATAATGTTGGGTGGGGGAAATAGTACAGAAATATATTTGTAAAAAAGGAAATCTGAAAAATAAAAACAATTTAGGAGATTTTTTAAAAATTAATTTATAGCTAGAAACTTGATTCTTTTAAGAATATAAAATGTTTGAACTTTTTTTCAGTATGGTAAGTAAGTTTTGGTTGAAATGCAAACTTACATTTTTTTTACCTTTATAAATAAGGTAGGGATTTTTTAAATGGTGGCAATTCCCCTCTTTAGTGCAAAATATTTTCTACCATGTAGTATTTGGTGAAGTATTAGACCTCCTCCACTCCTTTTGGAAACTGAAATAGGATTCACTCTGAAGGATGAATCCTTAGTGTTAGTGAATTTTCTTGTGTTCCTCTTATCTTCCCTATCATTTTCCCTACTAAATTCCTGAATGTTAGTCTTTTAATGTTGACTAGTTTATTTCTTTTAGTTGCTGGAGAAATAGAATGAATATTGACATTTTAAGGTTTACAGTTCATTTTATAGTCACAGAGTTGTGCAGGCATAACTAATTGTAATTTTAAACTCGTTTATAATTCAGAAAAGAAACCTGGTACCCATTAGCAGTCACACTTAGTCACTCCTCGTCCTAGAGAACCACTAATCTGTTGTCTGTTCTTTAGATGTGTCTATTCCAGATATTTCATTTAAGTAGAATTATACAGTATGTGGCCTTTTATTTCTGTTTTCTTTCATTTATTGTGTGATGTTTTCATGGGTCTTCGGTGTTACAGCATACATTGGTATTTCCTTTTGGTATTGTCATTTAGTATTTCAATGTATAGTTAGTTATATTACATTCTTCTCTCCATTAAAAAATGAATATTGATAGACATTTGGGCTATTAAAATATTTGTAATACACTAAAACATTTTTCTGTTTAACACAAAGTTTTGTTTCTTCAGTACTAGGATATGATTTCCTTGGAGTTAGATGGCACTGTGTACCAAGAGATACTTGAATCTAAAGAAAAAATATCACATCTACTTGGAGTCATTTTTTGTTTGAATTGGGGAAAATATGCATGCACATATATACTTAAACATAGTTTGTGTTTCTGTGTTGTTGCTGTATGATGTCAAGGTGGAACCAACTCAGCTAACCCTCCAGTGGGTTTTCAGAGAATGTAAATTGCACAAGAGGAGATTGCACTTCTTTTCTTCCCTTGAGCAGTTAACAATAGATTCAAACTATATGCCTTCTGATTGGCAGCAAAACTCCTTACCACTAGGCCACCAGAGCTCCCTCTACCTGACAATAGATAATAAAAGGAACTTTTTTGTGAAGACTTTTGACAATGGAAGTTTTAATCTTAGTAACTTAGATATTTTTTTAAAAGGACTGACAAGTTCTTAATTTTCCTTCACACGTTGTTGTTGTTTACTGTCAAATTGTTTCATAAATGATTTTTCATGGTTATAAATTGATAAACTAATGAGAGAAAAGTATTTAATTTCATGTAATGCTGTTTACTAGATTCTTAAAAATTTAAATGAGTGACTTTTATATGTCTTTTACTATTTACTTCAAACTGAAGAGCAGTGATTTAGAAAAGATACTCCTGATCCAAGCCATGATTTTATCCCAGTAATTTCTTAAGCATCTGAAAGCTGAACAATGAATAAGTATGACCAAAAAATCAATGCCTTTAAATTGTAGTATTGAAGAAAAGTACTGGCTATCTCATGGTCAAAAGAACAAACAAGTCTGTTTTGGAGGATGTGCAACCAGGGTGCTCATTAGAAGGAGAGATAATGAAATTTCATCTCAGTAAGGTGGATCCGATGTACCTTCGTTTATAAACATATCCTTGCTCTTCAGCACTTTGGGCAGGTTTTAGGCTGCAGAGTTTCCTGATGCAACACATGATTAATTGCTGAATTGTTGGTGCCAATGTTGTTGATTGTGGATCTAAGTAAAATGAAAGCTTTGAGAATTTCTGTCATTTCTCCATCTATCATGATGTTGTCTGTTGGTCCATTGGTGAGAATTTTTATTTTCTTCGTCTTGAAATGTAATCCACGTTGAAGACTGTAGACTTTGATCTTGTGCAACAAGTGTTTCAAGTCTGCTTCATTTTCAGCAAGAAGGTGGGTCATCTGCATAAGGCAGGTTATTGTTGATGACTCTTCCTGTTATCCTGATGTCCCATTCTTTCTCATGAAATCCAGTTTCTTGAATGATAGGTTCAGTATAGAGATTGGACAAGTATAGAGAAAGGATAGAGCCCTCATGTACACCTTTCTTGATTTTAAAACATATCCGAGAGGCTGGGCTCTATGAGGAGAAGTGTGGCGTCAGGATTGGTGGAAGATCTATTAACAGTCTGCATTATGCAGATGACACAACCCTGCTTGCTGAAACTGAGGAGGACCTGAAATACTTGCTGCAGAGGGTCAAGGACTGCAGCCTTTAGTGTGGATTGAGGCTCAATGTCAAGAAGACAAAGATTCTCACCACTGGACCAATTGGCAGCATCAGGATGGATGGTGAAGAGATTGAGATTGTTAACAACTTTAGTCTGCTTGGCTCCACAATCAACACTCTTGGCACCAGTAGCCAGGAAATAAAAAAAATGTATTGCGATGGGAAAGTCTGCTGTTAGGGACCTCTCCAGGGTACTGAAGAGCAATGGAGTCACTCTGGAGACTAAGGTGCGTCTGATACAGGCTATGGTCTTTGCAATCATGTGTTATGCATCAGAGGTTGGACAATGACTAAGGAGGATAGAAGAATTGATGCTTTTGTCCTGTGGTGCTGGAGAAGAATATTTAATGTACCTTGGACTGCCAAGAAAACAAACAGATTCATCCTGAAGAGGGTTAAACCAGGCTGCTCCTTGGAGACAAGGATTCTGAGGCTTTGTCTGGCATACTTTGGACATGTTGTAAGGAGGTAGGGGTCCTTGAAGAGGGACATCATGCTTGGGAGGGTGGAGGGATGGCGCAGAAGGGGAAGACCCTCTATGAGGTGGATTGATTCAGTGACTGGGGTAATCGGGATGGGTGTGTCAGAGGCAGTGAGATTAGCACAGGATAGAGCAGGGTTTAGGGCTGTTGTACATAGGGTCGCTATGAGTCGCAAGTGACTTGATCGCACATAACAACAACAACAACAACAACAGTGTTCCCTTCCTCTGTTCAGACAACAGGTTAGGTATAGGTTTAGATATAGGTTTCACATAAGCACAAGTAAGTGTTCTGCGATTCCCATTCTTCTCAATATTAACCATAATTTGTTATGATCCACACAGTCAAATGCCTTTGCAAAGTCAATAAAACACAGACATCATTCTGATATTCTTGGTTTTCAGCTAAGATCTGTCCAGTATCAGCAGTGTTATCTCTAGTGCCACGACATCTTCTAAACAGAGCCAAAATTGCTGTTGATGCTAGCTGCTTTTGAATGATTGTCAGCAAAATTTTACTTGCATGTGATATTAATGATATTATTTGATAATTTCTACATTCTACTGGATCACCT